TCTCTCCTGTGGAACATCCCCGGCAGTTTCACGTCGACGGTCATCCGGATCGACTCGCGGCCAAGGTCGATCTTCAACATCTGCGTTCTCTTCGTGTATCCTCTCGTGGACCCACCAACGACGTCAATTTTTCGACGTGAATTCATTAATTAACAAAGACCAGTGGTGGAAGCGAGATTGACGTTGAAAAAATAAAAGGTGTTCAAAATTTTATATTCTTCACTTTTATGGAAAGTACCATTTTTGTGATCGAAGATGGAGGAACTGTGAGATCGAGGATACTGGAGAACCGTGGATCGGTGTGGAGTGAATTTTTGTTATGGGATTCATGGCATTGGTGATGTGTCAGTGCTTCCTAGGTGTTCAGAGTCTTGGAGGATCCTCGGGGATTTTTTCGGACAATTGAGATTCATAGCAGCTGGAAAGTAAGTGCTTGAAGTTTTCATTTTTGAGGAAAACTGTGACTCCTTGAAGTTGAACGAGTGTACATTTGACGAGAAATTGGCGATGTTTGACAATGTTTGCGAGCGAGTCTTTAAATCCCAAGAAACTCGTGAAAACTGGTTTTAACCTGTTTTAGTTTCTCTAAAAATTACTCTGTTTATTAATTATTTGTAAGAATTTAAAAGTCCCCTCTCTTTTACTTCATTTTTCCTCAATTTATTCGCTAGCATACCTCAATCCGCATTTTCACCGAGGAACATTCAGAGTCGACACGATTTTCCCTCAGCCAACTCGCACGCAAGCAAGTTTCGTCCGTCAAGTCGCTTCCGTCCGCCTATTCGATTTCCATTAGGCCGAACGCGGTTGGCAAACGAGCCGTGAACCTGGTAATTGCAAGTTGAACGATCCTCGCGCGAACGCGTCGCTACTCCACGCGATTCCACTCGACACGTGATGTTGTAATCTGTTTGACGACCTTAATACTGTTTCCATCGACGCGACAGCCGCGGCAACGAGGAGTTCTTCACGCTTCGAGGTGCTGTCAGTCACCTAAACAACCAACAGATGTCGTAGATCTTGTATTCGATCATAAATTGGGGGAGGGGGGTCGAATTCTGAAGGTTTGATGAAGTTTGTCCAGGTTTGAGGATGATCATCAGGGTTCTTGATTACTTTATATGATTATTTATGAATGTATTCATTTTTTAAGAGAGTAGACTGATGTTTTCTGTGCTGGTTTGAAGATGTTTGAGAACGTTGAAGCTTCTTATGGTTTATTTACGATTATTTGTAAACTTGATGATTTTAAGGGAGATTAGAATGATGGATGTGTGAGAAAGAGTTCTTTTGTACTGGTTTGGAGATGTTTGTTCAGGTTGTTGGAATTTATTTATGGTTACTCGTACATTTGTAAACTTTATGCGTGGTTAGTATGACGGATGCGGGAGAAAGGATTTTTTCGCGCACGTTTTCATGCTGATTTTTCTTGATTGATAAGACCAAGCCGTAAAGTTAACGTCTCGTGAACAAGGAAAACAGGTTTCGTTCAGTTTTACGGACCAGTCTTTTGTTTGAGTTACGTTTAAAAAATGAAATCGTGGTAAATGCTTCATTAAGTGGGCAATAAAGACTGGTCGCGTAATTTCTGGATGAACTCGCGAGACGGGGAACGATAATTGAGCATAACGAATTGCAGGCGTTTACCAAATTATTCGCGAAATTAAATGGAGCTCTTGGTTACTGTTCTCAGTGATTGTGTTGGAAGCTCTTCGACTGCGACTAATCGGTTTTACGTATTCCCCATCTTTCTTTCAATTAAATCGTGCTCCAATTTAATTCCTGCTTACAATTGCATTTTCAATAAATTGAAGAAGAAATTCAGATTAATGTTGGATTTATGTTTTCCAAATGTAGGATCATTAAATTCGATGTAACTCGAGCTATAGTAAATTGGATCAGATGAAGTTTAATCTAAAATTAATGCAATTAATTAAATTTACATATGAGGTCGCAAAATCTTAAAAATCCAACAGATCTAGGAGATTCTAAATATTTCAAAAATACCAGGTACCTAAAAAAGTACCCCAGATATTTCAACATCTCAAAAAATCCGAGGATTCCAAGAACCCTGGAATTCCCAAAGAGTCCAAAAGTTCTACTCGGCCCAAATATTTCAAAAAGAACGCTGAAATTTCCAAAAATTTTCAAAATCTTCAAAATTCTACTCATCTAAAGATCCTCAGAATTCGAAATATTCTAGAAATCTCAAATATTCAAAAAATCCCGAAAATTTCACAACTCCTAAAAGAGACTGAAGTCCAGTTGGAAAAACACGCTTCCTAAAAGCATCGGCAATCGATCAAAATTCACGTAGCCTCTCTACATTCTATACAAATATAGCGGCGCAAAGATGGAGCCGCGTTCTCCGTCGAATCGATTTGTTCCCGTTCGCTGCAATTAGCCGTTTGGATCGTCGGTAATCGTCCACTTTTCGATAATCAGTTTCGTCACGACTTCACCGTGCAACGGTGAACACGTGAGAGCACAGATGGGTCCGTTTACATGCTCGACGCCAGCGACAGTTATATACCCCGTTCAGAAAGGATCGAAGCGTTTAGAAAAGTCCCTCAGACCCGTCTAACTGTAAAAAGATTCACGCTTCTTCGTTTTCCAGCGGAATTTCATGCTCGAAATTAGAAATTCTAATTAGTGGCGGACGTGATCTCGTGCCGCTTTTAATGTCTCTCTGACGGACACGAATGTAGTTCAATGTACGATGGAGTCTTATTAGTACATATGTATCGAGCAAGAGAAATACGTCGACTCCTTCTTTTGATTGATCGTTATGAATTTATGCAGCGGAGTAGCGTTAGTTTCGGATACTGTTAACTTTAAATGGTTTATTTAATGTACAGAATGCACGATGGGTGACGACGATCGTTAAGCTAAATGATATTTCGTTTCGGTACTTGTTCGATTTTTAAGGGACCAATTCAGTCACGAAGTTTAATTAAATTAGTCGAATACGTTCTCTGAAATTTTTATGCTGCACGTACAATTGAAGTGTTTTTTTTTTTTTTAGGATTTAATAATGTCAATAGTTACAAGATTACTTTCGCTTTCCTGCGCAGGCCATCGCAATCATCAGTTTCGTTTTCCAACCGTTCAAACAGCTACAAAGAAACAACTACTTCCATTTCTACGAAAATAAAATGATCCACAAAGACACTTCGATCTTAAACGATTTTTTCACTTGCATAAAACAATAATAAAACCGTAAGTATTTGTATTATACACGGGAGAGGTTAAAAAGTTACAATTTCCATGAAAAATATCTCCTGTTTCATGTTTAATGAAGTAAAAATTTCTCGTCGATAAAAAGTCGGATGTATGTATACAGGGGCAATTGAAAAGCACAGTATCGGTAAGATAGGTATCTGCTACTACCCGTCGCGAAAACAACATTTTAATCGATGTTTTCCATTAAAAAGAAACGCGAACCGTGTCTCACGCATCGCCGGTGAAAATCGAGCTGCGCTCACATCGATGGCATGCACGCGATAATTCTGCACGAGCGGGTATCAAGTGCCGCGTATCTGCGATTTCTACCACGGTAAACAATGCTCCAAACGCGATTCTCCCCCCACCTTCCTATCTCGCCGTTCTCGTGTGACTGGCAGCAGGGCAGACTTGTAAAACTGTGACGGTGCCATGAGTGTGAAAATTCCGCTGGAATTCGCTGATGCAACAATGGTAAAGACGTTCCAGTTACGTTTTATGGAGGAGCATGAATTGTACTGGTACACTGATTCATGTGAAACCATCGTTATGATTACTACGATAATGTATACTAAACGTTTATCGACTATTGAGAACTGTGGCATGTTTGTAGGAATAGCAGTATCGTTGCTAGTACCAGTAACTTACTATTCGTACTGAAAACATTCTGAAAAGTATGCGTACATGGGTAGCAAGTGTACAGAGAATTATCTGGTCCAAGCTGGTATAATTAATAAATTAATGGAGATATTTAATTCGAAAGAATTCCAATCTTCATTAAGTAATTAACTTCTGTGCTCTGTAATTTTTTTTAATGGAAACATATGGTAGAGATAGATGTTCGCTACGAAGTGAGACACGTTCGAGTGTTGTATACCGTGTGGGCCAAAAGTTTGATGGCACTGTAAGAATTTATCCAAGTACGTGCAGAACTTGCACAATCCCTATTTCCAAGAACGATTCATTCCGTTAATTGAAAAATAAAACATTCCCGTCAAATTCAACTTCGCGATATTTCCTTTTCAAACCGTAAACCCAATTTTTCTCCCGTTTTTTACAACCTTGACCAAAATAATCGCTCGAAGGGTAAAGAAGAACAGGCGAGACGGGAAAGAACCGTCACTTTTACCGGGACCCTTTTACCACGAGGTAAATAGGGTCCAATCTCCTCTGCAATTACAGTTTTAATTGCCAGTTCGTCGGACGTGGCGTGTACTCGCATAAATTTAACGCAGGCTGCGGCGCAGCGGCAAGGGTCCGTGGAAACGAGGTGAGATCCTGTCGAGATTCCCCTCTTAAACTCGGCCTCCCTGGATCCATCGGATTTTTTCAACGGCCCGTATCTTCGTAAACTTTTTATCGCGCGCTCATGCGTTCATCGGCATTTTTTTTTCTCACGTCGTGACCATCGGACACGTCTCACCGTGCTAGGTATTTTTCCTCGAAAAGCTGTTATCTCCTATCGACGATTATTTCATTTAACTTCGTTTAACCACGTCGGTGTGATTTTGTGTAATTGTGAAATAGTTGGAAGAAGGTTCGTGGTGTAAGAGTGTGAGGAACATTGTGGAGAAATATAACGAAAGTTCCATTTCCTAAAAGATGTCGTCTGTGCTGATTTTAAACGTGACTAAATGTGGTTAAGATTTATTGATCGAAGTGTTGGTGATGATTTCAGAACGAATGACGTCGATCAGTGAAAGTGCGGCGAAGAGAGAAGCTGCGGGGAGCTTGCAAGAGATACATTTAGGTCTTAGGATCGTTTTGTAGCTTGGAAAATGTCCTGTGTGGGGATGTCTTGTTACGAAGATGGCTTCCGGTTAGCTGGTCCTGCTTCGGAATGTTCTCTCAGGAGCAAGGCCCGCATCGACGCCCTTTTCGAGGACTCAAGGTACTCAATTTCACTCAATTCCGTGGACACAATTACTACACTTGATACCAAGGAATTGTCACATAAAACTTTCTATCACTGAATCATTTCAAAAGCACAATTCATTCTTATAATTGTAACATCTAAAAGACCATCTATTATTCAATTTTAGAAAATTTCTAATTTAGTTCAGTTGAATTTACAAGTTTGACAACCTCACAAAGATAATCAGCACACCAGATTCACATAGAAAAAGTCAATTGTGTTTTATGCTTAACACATCCATTAAAAAAAATCCTCTATGTTTCTACCGTTCAATACAGTTCGAGTCATTGTACAAATAATTATTACCCAGAAATCACAGAGGAAAACTTATCTACAATATCTCTACCGTTCGATTCGTTCATCTTGCAAGTTGGACAAAGTCCAAGACAACATGAAATTCTGTAGGAATTTTTCTGGAAAGAAAAAAGAATTGAAATACTGAAGTGGCATTTACTTGTTATTTAGGTCGATTTATGGGTCCACCATGGGAGGCTGGTACGGCGGAGTATCCACCATGAACTCGAACCATTTGGAGGACATGGGGGTGGACGAGCAGAGAAGGGTGAACAGCGCGGTGCAGGCGCGAATCGAGGCGATGTTCGCTTCCGTGGAAGCTGAAAGCGGAACACCAGGGGAATGCGCTGCCGCCATTTTACCGGTAATTGTATCCAGAGTACTTTCTTCCTTGATTTTTCGAAATGATCACTCTATTGTATTTCCATGGACCTGAAGCACAAGTTTCGTTAGTAATAAAATCTGAAAGAAATACGGAAATCACTTCTACATATAGCAGTATTGTAATTTTCGTAGCAACTCTTTCTCGCTACAAATTCCTTCGAAGACTCCATTTTCCGAGTGATCAAAAAATTGATCTTCACTTAGCTGAATTAAAAGAAGATTGCAATTTTGATTTTCAATTATTATCAGAAACACAGTTTTAAAAATTTGTAATTAACAGAAAGGTTAATTTTCTTTTCATCCAAAAACAATTTCCTAAACGCACGTCTTCGTCCACTCGAATTAATTGAAAAAACTTATTTCTTGAACACCCCTTGCATCTTTCCTTGTTAAACGGAAGAAAACGTGTAATTCTTCTCTAAGATTCGTATCAAACTCAATCCAATAGGCGGCTTTACAGAGATTTCACTGCAATTAGTCGGAATTACGTGGAAAAAAAGAGGCTTTTCACTTATGTTAATTCGACCGTTCGTCGCCCTACCCCTCCAGGCGGCTCAGAAAATCTCGTGGAACGACCATTCGTTCCACTCTCGAGACGAGTTCGCAGCTGTTCGCGCCTTGGCCAAGGATTCACCTACTTCGCCACTGAAAATCGCCACTGAGCACGCATCGGACGTGTATTTCATCCTACGCTGCCAAAATGGCGGACTTCTTGCAGTCGACGAACGAGAAGACTATTTCTTCTCTGAAGGCTGTATAAAATATCGAATCTCCAAGCTCGTTCAGACAAACTTCATAAATCGTCGGTTTAGCAAAAGATTAACATTACTAATAAACGTAAATGTTTTATAGTAGAAAGTTATTAATTGCTCGACCATTTAGCAGTGAAAAAAAATTCTCCTTTTTACAATTTAGCTAATAATCTGCGGGTTTCGAAGGTCTTCAAAAGGGTTGAAGCAGCTCAATTTTGAACGGTGACACTCTTGTTAAGTTTTTGAGATGTGTCATTCTTCTAACATTCGTGTCAAAATCAATCCAAGCAAACCGACAATATAAATCAGCTCGATAAAATATACACGGTGTCCCATTTGTTCCCCGTTACTCTGTATTCCATCGAGTAAAAGAAATGAAAGAACTCTATTATCGAACAGAGAAGTAATATTTAGATCGACGTGTAATTGGTACGTGTAATTTGAGCCGGTTGCTCGTTCGAATAGGAACGAAACCGGATTAAAAAGCCAGTTGAAAAGAGGAAAGATAACGAGAAATGTTTAAACATTAGAAATGGTGCTTGTAAAAATTCCACGAGCTGCTTCTTGATATAGTAATTGCGTTCTTGTGCGTGTTCTCCATAGAATTGAGTATTCTCGCGTGGAATTGCTTCGAGCACACTTCAATAAAATAATTAAGCATCGCGCAAACGTTTTCGAACGATACATGTAAGACTAATTGCAATCTTCTGTATCTTCCTCGAATACCATTGGAATTTAAACGAAGAGACTTTAGAGCACAATTCATTTAATGTAAAGTTAAACGTTTCTTTTTTTTCTCGCTGTTGGCTGAGGTAGGCGCGTGTTAAACAATATCTCGTCGAATGGGAGTAGAACGAACGTGCTGCTAAAGATTAAGACCGTCGTAACACTTTAATATTGTGCGGGCTACTAATTATGCGACACGGTCGGGCGCAATTTTCATCGAGAAACAGGCGGATATTTTGCTCTTCTTGTCTACGAAACGATGGAAAAATCGTGGGGCGTCTAAAGGTGGATTCCGTGCGGACATTTTCGAGCGGTTTCAACCTCGACCTCATTTGCAAATCTGCCCGAAACCAATATGACTTTTTCAACGAATTTCTCTGGAGGAGGAAAAGAAAAATTGGTCCAAAATCACCGATGTGTAAGTTCTTCTTAGCTAAATGCGTACATTAAATAGAAACTTTCTTTCTGTTTATTGGTAAATAATTTTCAACGAGATTTTCATATAATTTAATCAGAGTAAAAAGAAGATTTTCTAACCGTATACATAATGGCAGCAAAGAAACTGAAAACTTTTACATGCTTTCGTTCCGATAAAGACACGCCGAAACGCACTTTCTATATGAAATCACACGAATTAGTTCCATTATTTGAGAGATCTCTAAACTATCATATTCAATTTTCCTGTTTAGAGAACGAAACACACACTTCTCTGAATCATTTTTCTATCTACACACACCGCCGGCCAAAATTTTCAAATTTTCCAATTCCGCTATCAATATTTTTACGGATTTACCGCTAAATTTACAGAGACCAAAAGCTGTTTTTGAGTAATCAGAAATTCTTGAAAAGTTTCTTCAATTTCTAACTTTTTTCTGAAAATTCTTGCGCAAGTATTACACAGCACAGTGGTCCCAAAGTTTTAGACGACAGTAGGCGTATATCAAGAGTCCTTAGTGCCTTTAAATATTAGAAAAATTCTAACTAAAACGAAAAAAGTATCTCTCAAGAATTTTGTCTGCAAAAGTTTCCTTTTTCCATTCGCAAAAAAGGCATCACACAGAAGTTCTTCTCCAGAATCGCAAATCCTTCGTAGGTGTAGGCTAGGATATATTTTTCGAAGAAAAAGGAAGATAAAATAGCGCACCCTGAAGGCAAGGACTTTCCTTGGTTGTCCGTGGTCCTAGAAGTTTTTAATAGTCACTTTCATTCCGTTCACGATTCGCGGAGCGTGACGGGGCTGGCTTACGACTATTTGGAGCATTGAAAAATTCCCCTTCGTTGCCGCGGATCGGTATGCGGATTTTTCTTATTGCCCCGCTTTTATGGCCTCCCTTCTTCCGCATCGTTTCGTCGCGGCATCCTCGATGACGCCTCAAGTCGAGGTCAACACCAGATCATTGCCTCTCGTTCCACGAGATGTAATATCGTTGCGAGTAGCATCGATGAATATTTCCCGAAGAGACTTCAAATTTATTATCCTCCCCGTTTTCATACATTCCCCGTATCAAGATTTCGCGTACGAATGACAAGCTTCGAAAATGGTGAAAAAATGACCCTCATGTGTGGATAAGAAAAATAAGATAGTGGGTTTCTGGGGAATTCGTAATGGTGAAAATTTTTTAAAAAGTTTCCATGTTATTTGGACTGAAAAGAAAAAAAGAATTTTTATCCGAGCTGTAGAACTGAATTTGGGATGTACATACGTAACGTATTATTCGAAGATGAAAGGGATGGATAACAACGGTGGAGAATGTTCGAGAATAACAGAGGAAGAATATTCTCCATGCACTGACAAGTGTTTCAGAATCGACGTCGAAGGATATTGACTCTCGATTGAGGTTACTTTGTACAGTGTCTTCTACAGATATACTTAATGCGTGTCCGGAAGATCGACGCTCTATAGGTTACGTTACACAGTTATCGCTTACAGCGTCAACACTTTTATCCAGAAATTTCAAAATTTCAATTTCTATTATCAAACATATTATCTATAAAAATATCAGAATACCCGAATGGCAATTTTGTTACTAAATTATTTTCGAAATGATCGACTAATCTTTTCGTGACCAGTCAGAAGGCGCACGTGTCCCATTTTTTTTACCAGAAATTATTTCGAAGACTTCATTTTCGAAATGATCAATTGACCCTTTCGCAGGAGACCCAAGAAAGGAGACCTTGTAGGAGAGCAAAAGTTTCTGAAAAAAAAATTCTGCCACGAAAGGGTTAAGCAATTAGCATATATTACCATGAAACTCCTCGTTCGTCACTTGCAGGCTGTCGAAGTATGCAAACAAGCCACGCCGTTACGTCATACGCTTACAAATAGCAACTACTGATATAGCAAAACAGAAAAGAAATGTATGTCATATTGTCTGCCAGCAGACAACGAAAAGCGACGAAGATGCGTACGATTTACAATGAAAAATAGCCTCTCCTTTAACTACCAACGCTGTTCCTACTCTCTTAAGAAATGAAAAACCTGTTCTCCAGAAGCTACCATAACTACCAACGCATATCGAATCACCATTTTATCGCATGTTTTAACATTCCTGCCATTGGTTTGTCGATATTCCCCATTTCTTCCTTACGTTTTAAAGATAACGTTCATTCCCGTTCATAATCATTTCTAAGAGTAGAAGATAACCGAATTTTTCGTTTCCCTTTTTAATGGAAACGCATTCACCTAACGAGCATAGGATTGCACGCATCGCGAAACGATTTTAAAGAGGCTCTAGCTGGCAGTCGATGAAAATTCTTGATAAAGGCTGACCATCGATTAATCTACATAATTTAACAGTGTATTTTGCATCATAATGTACTTTCATTATCTCCTCGTTTACGGCTGCTGGTTAAACTGTCTCTTTAATAGAGCGATTTGTTATTTCTCTCCTTTCAACACGGTGATATCTCTCTTGCACACGGTAGAAAGGTGGAAATGGAATGTTTCGTGAAAAATCAATGTTTCAACTTTCTTCTCTTTTCAGTTTCTAATTAATTTCGTTATAGAGTTTTGTGGGATTACATGTTTTCCAATAATGCACATTTCGTTGCTCTAATAAGTACAATTTAGTCAAACATTTAATTCTTCATTCTGCCTATTCGAATTCCAATATTGTACTCGTTAATGAAAAGATACAAGGATATTAGTGAATTTACGACTTAGATGTTTGGAATTATTCGCAGATTAATTAAGAAGCATAAAGATTTTCGTATATTTAACATACGAATAGATCTATGACCTGAATAGTTAGAATACCGCATAACTTTTAATTCAAACCTGTCGACTCTCCCTACCACATTTCCAATGCCTTCGTGATCCAATCAGAGAACATAT